AGTTGTTATGCTGAGATAACACAATGGTAACTATCACGGAAACGATGTTGTGTAAATAAGCCCTCTGGGATGCATAGGAGTGCCCCATTGCAACCCAAATATATGCTGAATCATGTATTGGGGACTATCTACCCCACCAGCCCACCCATATCTTCTTAAAAATTTTATATGAATGAGTGCATACAACAACATAAAATAAACACTTTCATTTTTAAATATTACCTAAAAGCTTTAATCAAGATCACACAAGAAGTGTGTCATAACTGATTTTCTGGCCCATTGATTTCATTTTGCACTACAGGAATACTCTGTATACCATGATTCTCAGAACCAGCCAGACATTGAGAAAGGCACATTTTCAGCATTAATTTCCACTGCCTGTACTTGAGGCAAAGAGCTTCCTATCCCTCTTCATGATGACTGCAATTGTTTCAAAATATTTCTATGATATATTTACATACTTCAATGCCACTACAAAAACCTTATCTAAAAAATATACACTAGACGAAAACAAAGACAAAAACCAGAACAATTCTAAAGCAAATACAAGAACTCGTATATGGGTGAAATGACTGAAAATGCATTATAAAATAATATGGGGTCATTTCTTTAAACTGGCATGTCGGACGTTTGATCATATTCCATAAAACTCACAATGAAGAACAAACTGTAAAGATACAACAATGAACAAACTGAAAAGATACTGTATGCCAAAAGAGAACTGACTTCAGATGAGTCAAGACACCATCTCAACTTTTCAAACATTAAGATCATGACTTTGGAAAACAAAACAAATGTATTTGCTCCTCCCCAAAAATAAAGTGTTTTTTTTTTTTTAAAAGAAAGGCATGGTATTTGGATAAACAAATTTAAGTCACAGTGAATTCCTTTGTTAAAATCTAAAAGTAAATAGAATTTTTAAATTTAAAAACACCAGTCCAAGGATGTTGTCCTTAGTCTAACATTAACAGTGCATTCCTAAGGAGGGTTGTATCCTTGGAAGGGTGTAATTCTGTTTAGGATTGCTCTGTATGAGTTAGTTCACACAAGCCTTTTCATAATGCATGACCAGTACTAAGCACCCCTGAACATGTATTCACACAGAGGATGTCTATATGGGAATCAGCAGGATATGGCCACAGCCCAGAGTGATCCCCCTGAGCACAGAAGCTAGATACAGTGCAGCTGCTCACTATAACCATGTACTATCCAGTTCCCACTTCTTTTTCTCTATGTAATGATGGGCACATCAACAGCTAACAGTGACCAAGGATTGCTTGTATGCAGGGGAACGATCTCTGGAGTGAGCCTCCCACTAGTAACCTCATAATCAAGATCAAATAGCAGGCCCTTTAGAAAATACTGTACACTATTAATGTGATGTTTTCCCGTTTTCAGCTTTTTCCCCTTCCACTTAAAAAAGATTGCCTATTTACAAGAAGTGTAGCAATACTAACCATATATAATTTGCATATAACCCCTTCCCTGCCCCATCTTGCTTTGCTGATTTCCAAGTGAATGAAGTGTTCATTAACAATAGGTCAAGGTCTACTCTCTGCCACAAACATATTAAAAACTAAAAGATGTGCAACACTATTGTACAGTATACACACCTGTCACTTATGTTACAACAAACTTAGCCATCAACAAAAGGTGGGGGGAGAGAATCCCATTCAAAAATCAATTATATGGAGTCTTTTGTATAGAGAAGTACCACACCTTTCAAGCAACTGGTATTAATGAGCAGGCATGACTATAGAATCCCCATCAGTTTTTCTGACAAAGCTGCGACTACTCCAGTCTCTCATTGAAATTCCATTAATCTGGTGCAGCCAAGTCCAGTGCGAAAATCAAAACTCCATCTAACCCTTTATCAGTTCACAATAACCTACAAGTGAACTCTGCCTGTTAGCATATAGCAAGTTATGATTTTGCTATCAATCAGGCTGCAAGCCAATAAAATAAAAGCCAGCCAGGAACAATTTGCCAGGCAAGAATTGTGTGTCTTGTTTTATTTTGAGGTGTCCTTTTGGAGGTTTTTTTTAAAAAATTCTTTCTACCCTCATTTTCTGTGCCTCTTCCAGTAAGGTGCCTGGACCTCAGGAGTTCCCACACTGTGCTCGCTTCCTCCTATTTAATTGCTGCCAGCAATCAACTCAAAGCATCACTGAAATGTGCTTGAATTTCATTATAAGATATAACTTATGCTACTTTCTTACAGTACCTAATAAACCATAAAGAAACCTAAATACATACGGCTGGAGGGAATAACTAGAAAATTAGGTGGCCATTGGGGAACTGAGTGAACTTTTGAACCAAGGGAAACAGAGGGGGAAATACTTTCAAAAAACAAAGGGAAAAACAGACTTTATAGTGTATACTTAAATTGGTTGGGCTGAAGTTTTCAGAACCTCCAAAAATTAAATGTATCATGAACAATACATATGTAAAATTTATAATCTAAACCCTATTTCATTATTGTAAAGAAAGCAGCCAAAAAACCAGAAACAAACAAAAAAAGAATAACCCAAATATACTAGATTGAAAAAAGGCCTTTTTGTGACCTGTGCTAATTTAGTTAGAATATTTATTGTTTAAACACTACTGAGTAATATAAAGTATATTACTCTCCTGAGTAATATAAAGTAATATAACTATTAGACAATAGTCAGGAAAAAGATAATTTTTAAAAAAAATCATATTATACATACAACACTCCATGGTTAATAGAAGAACGTTACTGCAATGATTCCTATGTCTTTTTTTAACAAATTGCCAAATAGATAATCAGAAGCCAAACTACTCACAATAAAATTTTATTCTTAGAGGCAATGTTTTATTCTGCAGACTTGATCATGGCTGAAGATGAGAGACCCATCTCTTAATGGAAGAAAGACTATTGGCTGCTGATAGATCCTAATTCCCCATTAATGCCACAATGAGCAACATGTTTAATTGCATGAATATTCCTGTGATTTCATATTTCCAGCGCTTCTAACTACAACCTGAATACCCGGCCCTACTCTGCAATATTTCAGATGTAAACACTTCCACTTGTGAGACCAATCACATGCAGCAGCAAAACAGAGTAGGACTGGATGTTTAAATGCTGAATGCCAAAAACATTAAAAGTGGTCTAAAAAGAGGTAAATCAGAAGGGAGATGCTACATTTGATTCATTGCCCCATACATAGACGCATTAGTGATCTGCTCAATACACAAAAATTAAAATGGTTACCTATAGAGCAGCTATCAAAATTTATGAAGTATATCCACCAACATAATTCACACTAATTAAAGAACGGGAGATTGATACTTAACCAAACAGACAAGAAGAAACTACTCATTTCATATTATAATCTTCTGTGCATTTTTATAATATTTCTGGTATTAACTATTTACTTAAATTAGTAATAGAATTGGAAACCTGTTAAGGTAATTATTCACATATTGATATTGATGGGATACTTAACAGTTGGGCACCTCCACTGTTGAGAAATACATTGTTCATTTTCACCAATAAATGTAAATGGCTTCCCGCCCTTTAAATAAAGTACGTCTCACATGTGTTCTTTGTAATGGCGTTCAATATGCCATAGCTCCAAAACATAGCAAATGGTATGTTAGCGGCATGTCTGTTAGGATATAAAGCACCTTTTGTCTTTATTTCGTACATCGTCTTCGGGGGGGGGGGGATTAGTCTATATTTTATAGGATCTCTTTTGTCAATAAATATAAAAAAAGAAAAAGGGAGCAAAAGCAAGAGGTTATTTTATTGCTGGTTTTAAAAACAGGACCTCACCCTTTTCTATTATATAAAGCTAATTCCACAAAAATTAACTCTTAAAAGTTACTGTTACGCAATTTACAGAGTTCTAGGAACGTAAAGATACTGTATTCTGAACCAGTTGTTAGCAGGTTTATCACTTATGCACATACTTGACTTATCCCTGTTCTGCAGTAGACATAATTTTATACCTCATAAAAGCAATATATGTTTCCAAAGGGAATAATCTGGATAACATAAAATGTGGAAAAGCATGTTGCAGCAAGCATATTTTCATCTCACAATGGTACCTCAAGGCAGAGATGGAAGCGCACAGTTTGATCATCATAGGATTGCAAAAAACATCATTTACTTTTAAGTCTAACATTTGGGAATTAATTGGTTGCTCTGACTACACACATATACACATACATGATACCATAAATAAACTTTTTAAAAAGCCTATAACAAGCTATGATGCAACAATTTCCATAGAATTCCCAGTCATTCTGCTCTCCGAGAACAATTTATAAATGATCTGATAATTACTCTGATCTAAGACCACTTAATCAATGGGCTTAGGCTGGAATAATGCTGGGGGGGAGGGGGGAATTACACTGTATGGCTGATATTTTAAAGAATTCAGAAGGCGGGGGAATCCTGTTTCAACACTGTTGCTCCCCAAACGGCTTGAATTAGAAATCAAACTAAAAAGATAGTACAAGAAGGGCACACATGAATAATTTATGAACTCATTCTGCTTGGAGGATGCCCCCCCCCAATCCATCAGCTACACCGTTTCATTATTTACACAACAAAAGGAGCAGATCATTAAGTAGCAGAATAAAATTAAAGCAAGAATCTGGGATTGATGAATTAACCAAAACTTTGTTTCAAGGAAAATTCTGAGTATATTTAGGTGTCCAGCCCACTGGGGGAGAGCAGAGTGAGGGGAAGGGAATAGAAGCTAAGAAAACTGTTTGGAACTCAGAAGCACACATGAACATGGTGTGCATTTTAAAGATATTCACTGTGCTTTATTTGCCACTAGAGAGCACTCTTCTGTTCCTTAAAGGGTCTTGGGAAGGCAAGAAAACAAGGTCCCTATGTCTCAGGAGGCCTTGTTGTTTATCTCTTGACCAAAAATTCACCACTCAGTTCCGAAACAGTACAGTCCAATCAAGCTAACAAATCGGCAAAATGTTTGCATCCTGAGATAAAGAAAACCACTTACCATCAGATGGGCCTTCATCATCTTTATCATACCGGTCAGATAGGTTGTCAGGAGCCAAAGGCCACGGACCTTCACGTTCTTCCCCATCTTCTAATTCTCCTGTGCAAACCAAATATTTACCAGGGATTATAACAGATTCCTTTCCAGTTGACAATGCATAGAATAAAACATCATTACAAGCTCAATTCCAAATACCAACTTTACACAAGTAGGCTCTTTTCTGTATGTACAGCAGAAGCAGAGGTCCCAAGCTACACCTCTATTGGCCATGTGTGTCTTAATAAACCACACAACAGTGTGTGTTCCTTATTACTGAAAGAGACGTGCCCAATCTTCCTAATTCAAATAAAGAGGGGAAGCAAATCTACTCAAAAGAAACAACGTGACAAAGATACAACAAGCTATGACAGAGGAATTGCTTAAAAGAGGGAGGGTGGCATAAGTATCAGAAGCTCTTGACCCCTCTTTCTAGCTTTCTTATGTATTTATTTAATTTCTACCCCACCCTCCCTGCGAGCGGGCTCATATATATCCCTCTCCTTACATCAAATGTGACTTCCCCTATGAACTTCCCCTATGAACTTTAAATAAATAGAAGAACCTCCATACTTTATTAGCTACAGTGCACTCCCCTATAACATCCATACAACACTGATATGCCATTTGTGGCAGGATACTAGTGCAATGTACAAACAGATTGCCCCACATGGAGCAGTAATTTCAAACTGAAGCAGGACAAAGCGCATACGGTATGGCAAGCTGGTTACAGACTGCTTCATCACCCATCCAGAAGACAATTCATCCGACACCTGCCATTCCACTACTCAACCTGCTTTTCGGCAGCACTAAAGGAAGTCAGATGCTCCATGCAAAGCCCAGCGTGGATCCACATGATTCTAAGGAGCCTTTCAAAAGGTTGTAATGTCTGAATATACCTTGCAGTACCTGAATATACCTTGCAGTGATTTACTCCGACTATACTATGTTACTTTACTCCAGAAGAATGAGCTTCAAATGCATTTAATAATACCTAACATCCCTCTTCAAACCATTTCTCTCTCCAAGTTCTTTGCAGGAAGGGTGGGTAATATAATAACACATCTCCATAGTCTGTGGGAAGTTTTCATACTACTGACATCTACTATTTGTATGAATTTTCAATTCAAATCAGTATTAGCCCAAGGTTTTAAAAAGCCTGGAACTTTCATAGCTCTCTGTACTCCCCAAAAAACTACAACCTAGATGAAGTGGTATTTTTGGACACTGTGTGACAGAGTGTTGGACTGGATGGGCCATTGGCCTGATCCAACATTGGCTTCTCTTATGTTCTTATGTTCTTATGCCTACTGGATTCATGATAATGACTACTACTTAGGAGCAAAAGCATGAAAGCCTTCTCCTCTGCCTCATAACCCCCTCTTGCTTTCATAAGAAAAACATGGATGACTACAAACACTTTAAACGTACAGAGAAATATAATATATCCATAGATGTTATGAAGTACCATTTTAACAGCACAAATGGTCTCCTAATAATTAGAAGATCACGTAACAACAAAGAAGAGATGTGTGAATTGCCTAATCATGATGACATTTCATACACTGGAACAATTAGGACCACACTGGAGACACCAGTAATAGAGCTGTGCTACAATTCTCATTTCACAGAACTATGACAAAGGCACGGCCTTTTTGTACACACAATGAGGACTGTACCAAATAGCATTTTCCTTCTAACTGGATGACAACAATGGTAAATCCCCTTACTAGTTCACTATTGGTAATTATTATCCCCCTCCCTTCTGGCTAGTGTCCCTAACAAACACACAAAGATTCCCTTCCCACAAGGTTTCCACAGAAATCAGGAGAGGAAGAGATGTCTGTGCTGAACACCAGAATCTAGCCCTCCCCCCCCCCTCTCAAGAAGGCAGCAAAGTTAGGTCCTGAACTACTGGAGGGGGGAGGCGCTTTGCACCTTGTCCTTCTCTGCCCTGGTCATAAACAGCTTCAACCCAAACTTCAGTGGCGCTCCTGCACTCTTTCTGTAACCAGGAAAAGCAAGGAAAAAATCCAGCATACGAAAACTCAACATATACCCTCACAGAAGTCAGCATTAAATAGGCCACTTCTCCCCTCAAAGGATTTGTATCAAGTACATGGAACCCTTAAATCCAATCAAGCATCTGTTGTGCACAGTTTCGTATGATGGGGGGAAAGTGTGGGGGGAACCTTCTGACTGCTGCAATAGTGACAACTAGTGATAAAACAAAACACAATGTTTGTTATAACATGGCCAAATTTACTAATTTCTTTGAAAACTGTTTTGGGTTTTCACCCAAAGTCTTGAATGTCAGCCTATACTCTCTACTGGCTGAGGCTGTCAGATGAGAATTTCTCAATGCTGCTCTTTCATTCAGTAGGATGAGAGACTGTTTAGCATCTTAAGACACAAATTCGGTCCCTTCAACAGGTGATGTGCATCTACTAGTATACCTGGGAATGGAGAGAGCTAAAAAAAAACCAGTAAAGAAAAGAGTTCTATTGGTATCTATTTAGTAGAAAGCTGAACTACAATGGGATAAGAGGCATCAGGTAAATGTATCCAGTACAATTTGCTGGCATAATTGAAAGCATTACATTCTAATCAGACATCTAAAAGCAAGGCATGTTCAAACGAAATGTCTATAGACTCATTAGCGGGCAGCTATTCCATTATAATCTTGCATAATGTCAGTGGTGTCTTGAGCCTGTGCCAATGACAACAGCATAAATTTTGCATCTCATTTCTGCAGCCATAAAATTAATGATCAGTTTAAAAATACTTCTTTATAAAAAGTTATTACACAAAGAATAAGTCTTGGATGTGTCCCTGTGATGTAGCCACGAGGATAATTAAGAGACTAATGCTCATTAATATGGCTTCTCCGGAACAACCTTTGATTTATCCTAGAACTTTTAAAAAGTTTCATTAATTAAGCATAGTTTAATGGTTACAGGGCGGAAAACACTATTTTTTCTTCTATAATATAATCACATATATTTTGATGGCAGAATATTTAAGTTATTTGCAATATGACTTGGTACGTGACCCTTCTTTATTAAATTTGCTTTGTTTTCATTTGCATGTGTTTGCTTATTGATCCTCACAGATAATGCTGCTGTACTAATATGGGCAACTAGATCTTTAACTCTTACCACTGTTCATGGAGGATACCCATTAATTCCCAGTAATAAATTCAGATTGACTTTACATCAAGGAATGTATCCTTGCTATCCTTGATAGCTTCCTGCTATCGAAGAATTAGTATTTATACTGACTTCACATGTCTGCCAAAACGTATACCCTATTCTGTTCCTTTCCTACCCTATCTGGCTTTCTCTATGCTCTCTTCAACAATTGGTTTATAATCATGAGTTTTGTCATCATCAATATTTGACTTCTGCCACAGCCTCTGTTATAAAGCACATATCAACGTATTTCAGTCAATACTCCTTGAAACAAAGTGTTGCTACTGGGAGCCCCTTAAATCCCTAGACACATGTACAGTGTTCCAATACAATGTCAACAAGGCAAGAGCGGCCTGCACAGTAAATTCCTCAAAATTCACCTTCAAAAAACACACAGCTGCCCTTACCACTACTATCTTCTGATGCATACATGCTATATAGCACAAACGACTTGTTTGTGATACTTCAATCCAATTTTGGAAGTTCTATGTGAATTCATGTGTATCTCTCCCTTATTATAATTGAATAGCAACGTTCTATATTGAACGTTCTAAATTTGGCCCCTTTAGTGTTTGGCCGGAAGAACTGTCAATCAGAAGAAGCTGGCTGGGTTGACTGGCTGCTTTGTGCAGTCCCGCCCAGCATTTCAAGGTCTTTTACATATGGAAGCTGATTGGACTTCACTCCATTCCACACCTCAAACTCCCCCCCCCCCGGCAAGGCAGTTGGAATTTTCAGGCATAGACAGATACAATGCCATACTCCCCACCCTACTGTATTCTGAGGTAAAATATGTCCTCACTCAGAACACATCACTTCCCCTTCAAAAGAAACAAACCCAATAACACAATCATGCCACACCACAAAGACAACAGATCACACCACAAGCAGAATACCACAAGGCAAAAAATGATAGGAAAAGGTGCCAGCAGTCACCCCATTACTGCCACAGAGAGCGCTTCAGAGGATGGTGTGCAGGTCCCAGGTTCATGTTTTAAAAGCAGCCTGGGGAATTATGGACCATTCACACACTTTCAACCTTAACATACCTCATAGAGTAGTTGTGTGGATCATATGAGGGAGAGGAGAATGATGTCAGCTGCTTTGGTTCCCACTGCAGGGAAAGACTGCCCTTTCTGAGGCTGGGCGAGGGGAATGTAAACCTGAAGACAGACAAGCAGATAACGGTAGGCTGATGGTTGCCGGGAAAGGACATAGGGTTGCCAACTCCAGGTTGGAAACTTCCAGGATATTATGGGGATGAAGTCTGCTGAGGGTGGGGTCAGAGGAGGAGGAGGAACAGGGGTACCTCAGACAGATACAATGCCATACTCCCCACCCTCCAAACAAGCTGTTGCCAGTCTCCAGGTGACAGCTGGAGAGCTCTTAAAGCTCTGGTGCTAATTCAAAGTGTTGCAATTTTGTGTTTTGGAAAATCTTTAGGAATTGTTTGGTGCATTTACGATGGGGCACCCACCCAGAGCCTCTGGCATTTTCTCACTCTGCTGGCATCAAAACCAATTTAAGGCAAAATACAGATATGGAGACACTTCAATCCTCCTTTGCATCAATTTGTCTTTGTTGGCAATGGCAACCCTAGGCCTGCAAGCACTCTCAGGGTGACTTCATGCCTCCAGACTGGCATGGCATCACTAGCCCTGGCTGCCTATGGAAGCTGCCTGGGTGATTTCGGAGCAGCCACAGACTTTCTGCCAAACCTACCTTACAGTGTTGTTGTGCAGATCGCAAAGCCGAAGAGAATGAAGTAAGCTGCTTTGCTCCCCCGATAATGAGAAAGACAGATTTTTGCCTAGAAAGAGGCTGCTGAGAGGGGAGGAGATAAAGTTGCCAGCTTCAGGTATGGTAATTCCT